ACAGCTTGAGATTGATGAAGTACAACACATATATGATGCCACAGTTGCCGAGGTCAGAGGGGAGATCCCACCAACTGCAACTCCCCAACCAGATATTGGGTACATAGCCCCAATGGAACCGATAACGCTGAACGAGGCAGCGACTGACCTGAAAGCTAAGATCATGGCTAGAATGGGCACAGGGCAAAGACACCGGTTACAGCGGTTGTGTGAAGTACCACCTAAGGATCTCATAGAAAGCGTGAATGCAGCAGTGAGGGCAATACCTACCACCACAATCACTGAAACCAATGAGCTGATATACACTTCAGCAGCAGTGATCCTAGAGATGCTTGGCTATAAGAGCAACCATGGGAGCCATGGACAATACCCACCATGGAAAAGACGGTTGGAGGCTAAGATCAAGGCGGCTCGGAGAGAAGTGAGTCAATTAACAGAGGCCCAGAGAGGTGCAATGAAAAGACCAGTACCCAGAAAGTACAGCCAGATGACCATACCTGAAGCACTCGAAACTGCCAAACAAAGGCTCCAAGCCCTGGCCAGCCGCCTACAGAGGTACACTAAAGAGAATGAAGCCAGAAGGGTGAACAGGCTGTTCGCAACACAACCTGCGAAGGTGTACGCTCAGTGGCAGGGTAACAACAGGGGAGCAGATCCACCGAGGCTGGAAACTGAACAGTTCTGGAGGAACATATGGGAGAAGGATGCAGCACATAACAGAAGTGCACAATGGCTGGTGTCCCTGAGAGAGGAGCACAGCCACCTCCCAGAACAGAACTCAGTTACCATCACAGAGGCAGACATCCGAGAAAGAGTCTCAGGTATGAAAAACTGGACAGCACCTGGCCCTGATATGGTCCATGCCTACTGGCTAAGGACACTCACATCACTCCATGAGCGCCTAGCAGCACAAATGAACCAGCTGCTGAGAGATGGGACTCACCCAGAATGGCAGGACCGTTCGCCGAAGGGCGAACGGTCCTGATCATGAAGGACCCTGTCAAGGGTGCAGTCCCCTCCAACTACCGGCCAATAACCTGTCTCTCCACAACATGGAAGCTCATGTCAGGCATCATTGCGGCTAAGATAAGTGGGCATATGGAACAATTCATGAGCACAGCACAGAAGGGCATTGGTAGGGACACCAGAGGAGCCAAACACCAGCTCCTGGTTGACAGAACAGTCGCCCAAGACTGCCGGTCACGACACACCAACCTGTGCACAGCCTGGATTGATTACCAGAAAGCCTACGACTCAATGCCACACACATGGATCATGGAATGCTTGAAGTTGTACAATATCAACAGGGCTCTAAGGGACTTCGTTGCAAACTCGATGGGAATGTGGAAGACTACCCTTGAGGCAAATGGCAAGCCGCTCGCACAAGTGACCATCAAATGTGGTATCTACCAAGGAGATGCTCTGTCCCCACTACTGTTCTGCATAGGCCTCAACCCTCTAAGCCAAGTAATTGACCAGACTGGCTATGGATACCGCCTCAGGAACGGAGCAAAGATCAGTCACCTCCTCTACATGGATGACATCAAGCTGTACGCCAAGAGCGAGAGAGACATCGACTCTCTGATCCAAACAACCAGGATCTACAGCCATGACATCGGGATGTCATTCGGGCTCGAGAAATGTAGCAGGATGGTGACTCGGAGAGGCAAGGTAGTCCACACAGAAGGGATCTCACTCCCAGAGGGAACAATAGCAGACGTTGAGGACAGTTACAAGTATCTCGGTATACCACAGGCAAATGGCAACCTCGAACAGGTGACGAGGAAAGCGGCAACTGCCAAATACCTCCAGCGAGTAAGGCAGGTCCTAAGAAGCCGGCTCAATGGCAAGAACAAGGCCCGGGCAATTAACAGCTACGCCCTGCCAGTGATCAGATACCCTGCAGGAATAATCAGGTGGCCAAAGGAAGAGATTCAGACCACGGATGTTAAAACTCGAAAGCTCCTTACCATGCATGGCGGGTTCCATCCCAAAACCAGCACCCTGAGACTGTACGTAAGCCGTAAAGAAGGAGGCCGAGGACTAGTGAGTGTGAGAGCCACTGTCCAGGACGAAACATCCAAACTCCATAACTACATCATGGAGAAGGCCAAAACGGATGACGTACTCAGTGAATGTCTCAGGCAGTGGCGAGATGAGGAGGTGCTGGAGGAGAGCCCATCATGGGAGAACAAGCCCCTACACGGCATGTACCACCGGAGCATAACAGAAGTGGCTGATCTCAAGAAGTCCTACCAATGGCTAGAAAGGGCTGGCCTACAGGACAGCACAGAGGCACTCATCATGGCTGCACAGGAACAGGCACTGAGCACCAGAGCGATAGAGGCCCAGATATACCACACCAGACAAGACCCAAGGTGTCGGTTGTGCAAAGAGGCACCTGAGACGATCCAACACATAACTGCAGGGTGCAAGATGCTGGCAGGGAAGGCCTACATGGAACGCCATAACCAAGTGGCTGGCATAGTGTACAGAAACATCTGTGGAGAGTATGGGCTGGAAACCCCAAGGTCTAAGTGGGAAACTCCTCCAAAGGTGGTGGAAAATGAGCGTGCGAAGATCCTGTGGGACTTCCAGATACAGACCGACCGAATGGTAATGGCAAACCAACCTGACATCGTGGTGGTAGACAAAGGGCAGAGGACAGCCGTGGTGGTGGACGTGGCAATTCCAAGCGATGGTAACATCCGGAAAAAAGAACATGAAAAGCTTGAGAAATACCAAGGTCTCAGAGAGGAGCTGGAGAGGGCCTGGAGGGTAAAGGTGACAGTAGTGCCCGTGGTGATCGGTGCACTCGGGGCAGTGACCCCGAAGCTAGATGAGTGGTTACAGCGGATCCCCGGAACAACCTCGGACATCTCGGTCCAGAAATGTGCAGTGCTAGGAACAGCAAAGATACTGCGCAGAACCCTCAAGCTCCCTGGCCTCTGGTAGAGGACCCGAGCTTAGAGAGGGATAACCGCCCGCGGAGGGCCAAAGGTGAGTGAAATTTTTTTTTTTTTTTATATATATATATATATATATATATATATACATGACCTAGAATCACAATGATCTCCAGGTCACAGCCCAAAACATTGAAGCTATAGTTAATTCCAGTGCAAGTGATTGTCACATTCACTGTAAATCTAATTTGAATGTAAACATAAATAAAAGAGTAGCCTTTCTTAGACAATCCAAGTAATTTCTACAATGTTAAATAGTTATATACACTGTAAAAAGCAATAACCAAAACATGCAGAGATTGAGTAGCCTATACTAGACAATCCAAATGCTTTATTTTTGAGGGGATTGGATGAATATAGAGTTTTTGCTTCATCCAGCCTCCTTTCAGACCAAATCAAGGCACAGTAAGAATAGGAAAAATGTGCAAATCAGTGCAATCAATTGTGAGTTAACTATGACATTAATGCGATTAATCATGATCAAATATTTTAATTGTTTGACAGCACTATTATACAATATGTTGTATGTATACATATGCAAACTAAACATATACATAATGTGAATGTCTGTATGTATGTGTGTATATATATTTTATATATTACATTTTCCAAGAACAGACTGAAGGGGTTCAACCTTATTTGAACCTTGTAAGTAAACAAGAGCAAAGAGCATCCCAGTATGAGTCAAAACTGACCAAAACTATGACATTGACAATGGGGTTTTAAGGGGTGTCACAAAAATATAATAAATACATTAGGGGAATCATTTGTTAAATCAACTTAACTTGTGTGGGAAAGGCTTCCTCTGTTTGCACAAAGGATACATTGAGTAACTCAAAGCTGATGTTTTTGTAAACAAAAGAAGAGTGAAGTAGACATATTGGGGAAAGAAAAAAAGGGGAAATCCAGATGATTCATAATCTCCATGACAATGTTCAGAACATGTGACACGGATATGTGCACTGGGAATGAAAATGTACCTCTTCTTAATACTGATCATTCCAGTATATTTCCACAGGTCTAAATATAACACACCTGAACAGTGAACAGGAAGTATGATTTGACTGCCAGCTGGTGCCTATCTGTCTGATATTAAAAAACGCACTAAACGACTTTTTGACATACCCAAATTAAACACAAAATATAGAGAATGAGCATGTTGTTTAATCTGCAGTATCAAATACAACAGTCATGATTTTACGAATATCCAACCATGATCCATGAACCATGATGACAAAATTATTATCTGTGAAGAAATCCAGTAGATGAACACAGAAATTAAACATTTGCACACAATACAAAGCAATATTTGCTTTCATATATTAATATTTGTTTACTACTAGTACATTTTAATATTTTTTTTCCTTACATGACATCACTTTTAACTTTCCATAAAAGCTGCCTCTTTCTGAACCATAATAAATATGACTCAAATTTAATTTCCTTGGGACAATCAGATGATTTGCATTTGGCACTGATTAAACATGCATTATTCATTGGGAAACTGCATAATGGAGCACAATTAAATGATGGTTCTGCACCACTTGTTTCACATGATATTTACAGCCTGGCCTGCTGTTGAGCCGCGACCAGTGGAGCCTTTCTCAGCTGTTATCAAGGCAGGATGATGCTCACGCCTGAGACTCCAACTGAAAACTCATCATTACAACTATTGTGTTTGATACTGGACCATAAGAGCCTCATCAGCTTAGAACAAATGGACCTTGCATTTGAAAATCACTGACGCATGTCATTACAACTGCCTTAAGACTCAAAGAAACATTCAAATGCAGACAGAAACAGCGCACACAACAATTTCATGTGCTTATAAGACTCAAAGAAAGACAAAGCACTAGAGATTAGTCAAAGATGTACAAGTGCAGAGCTACAGAGATGCAGGTCTGCGTTGGGCCGTGTCTGGACAGGACCAGGACAGGCAAAGTTCTCCAGCGGTCTAGACTTTAATCCTGCTGTAAAAGATGGGAGGAGCTGTGCTTTCAGAAAAACCAAAGTGAAACCAAACAAAGCACTGACCTGGGTGAAGTCTCCGTTCCTGGTGAGGCCCAAGCCAGAAAAGTCCACGTCAGAGAAGCCCGAGTACATGTCCATGTGCCCCTCCGGGACGGGAGCGCTGCTGTTCAGGTGGTACTGCCTGCACAGGGAGACAAGGAAAGAAATTAATTAAGTATTTCTCATTAAAAGCATGTATATATACTGCAATAAAGGGAACAGGGGGTTTGTCTCAACCTTCATTATAGAACAACCTATTATTATCTTGTTAGTAAATGAAAATAAAAAAATGAAATAAAAACACTCAAAGTATAATACGAAGTAGCTTGTGTTGTTTGTAACCAAAAGCATGACACATAGACTGTATCAAAACAAATAATAATAAAGATCAAGTATCTGTGTAAATATATTCCTACCCTCTCTGAACTTCTGTGCTCCAGAGTTCCGTAACACAAAGCATTTTGTCGCCAACACGGCAGAGCGCAAACCCAAGAACGCTCAAAGGGAAAGTAAAAGCACAGATCACAGCAACTACCACAGTGACATCAGTGCCTCCTCAGCCAATCACGCCTCAGGCCTCCGGCTCAGAGGGACTGAGGCCAAAGCCTTTCAGTGGGATTTGGAACATGGACCAAAGATCAGTGAGGATTCAAGTTCAAACTCCAGGAGACGAAACAAGCACAAATCATTATATAAAAGAAAAGCAAACACCTTAAACTATTTGATTTGCATTAAAATAGATAGAATCCATGCATTAAATTTGTATATACACAACAAAAATTATATAGTGTATATATTTTATATCTAATATTTTAATCAATTTGACAAGTGTTTTGTTTGATATGGAATGACTGCAATATATGTTAGGTCATGTTGAGTCATAATCAAAATTTTAAAAAAATTCTGAGCACAGTGAGGTAGTGATGTACACCAATTATTTATGCACAAACTACATTTAAATACTCTTAAATAACTAAGTAATTTCAATTCAATACATTCAATCCAGTTAATAAGGTGAATGTACAAGTGTAAATGATTGTTTGATCATGTTGTTGTGAACGGAAATAATCATAGAATCGTGAAGTTTCTTTTCAAAACAAATGTAATTGTGTTTAACCAAAGTATCAACAACATTAGACAGAGCATGAATGAATGAATGGTTTATTTGGTTGATTTAAATCAATACAAATTTACAAACAATGGGCCTCATTCACGAATAACTTCGTAAGAAACTACTCAACTTTCTTCTCAAGTTGTCCTTAAGTAGATTTCTAAGAAATCCCTACGTGGGATTCATCAACGCACTCGTAAGCCGCTGAATTGTTCGCAGCTGTTCTCTCAGATTGATGAATCCCATTTCAGCGTAAGTACAGCGCGCGTGCCAGGTGCTTCATTAGCATAGGTACTTAGCATAAGTAACCGCCCATTAATGCCCATATAAGGGGATGCAGGGCCGTGTGCAGACGGCTGAGGAAACAGCAACAGGCCTAAAGCAGGCCTTTTTTCTTCTTTTACCAGACTGAGAATAAAGTTATAAAATGTTGACTTAAAAGTCGAAATATTATGATAATAAAGTCGAACTAGCAAAATTATGAGATTAATCTAAGAATATGATGAGATTAATCTCAAAATGTTATGAGCTTAATTTAAAAATATATTATGTATTATTTTAAAGATGAATCTCAAAATGTTTTGAGATTAATCTCAAAATATTTTGGACCCTGGGAGGAGATCCAGCGCGGACCAGCGCTGAGACCAATGCAGACCCGAGGAGAGACTGGAGTGACCAGCACACAGAAACCAGCGCGGACAGGAGAGACCGCATAGACTGGAGTGACCTGACTGGAGAGACCGGTGCGCAGAGACCAGCGCGGACCGAAGATAGACCGCATAGACCAGACTTGAGAGACCAGCGCGGACCCGTATGGATCCAGGAGCATGAAGCACGGACCCGTATGGAGAGACCAGTGCAGACCCGTATATGGGAGAGACCAGTGCAGACCCGTATAGATCCATGGGAGAGACCAGTGCAGACCCGTATAGATCCATAGGAGAGACCAGCGCAGAGACTCAGCGCGGACCCAGTAACCTCCTGCAGCAGCAGTATATATGCCGTTGTTCTGTGGCCCGTGGATAAAGAAATGCCCCCTATAAATAGGAAGGGGTCACTAATACACGGCAAGATTTCCAATGTATTTGATAAAGCGTTGGCACATTTCATTTCAAAATGAATTAAAAAGTAGGCCAGATCTGCAGTGAAAAAGGCGGTATATAAATAAAGATTACTAATAAAGATTACTACAAATAAATAAATACATACATCGATATGACGGACATATCACTGGAATGTTGTATTTTTATTCAACTTCACCAAAGAGGACAACCCCGGCGTGTGAACATGTCGGCACTGAATGCGTACGAGTGCTCCTGAGGACTCGTAGGATTTGTACTTGCCCAAGACAAATTCTGGTTACGAGAAATATTCGTGAATGCCACTTTCTTCGTAAAAACCGCGTAAGTAGGATTTACGTACAAATCTGTTCCTAAGAACCGTTCGTGAATGAGGCCCAATAATGTTAACAACAAACAAAACATTTCAACCAAAAAGGAATAGGCTGAAGCAATGCTTATTTATGCCAATCCTTTAAACCACGTAACTGCTACTGAATCATCTCAGCTAAATTAAATACATTATCAGATAATATTTTTAATAAACATTTTTGTTACTTACAAACTGAAAACCCCATTTTATACATCTTTTAAATAATCAGTTATAGTTTTTTGCTTAATCATTATTCTAAATTCAGCTAACGAAATGCACAGTTTAAATTGATCATTTAGTCCATTCCAAAGCTTAACCCCCTGAACTGAAACACATCTGGACTTCACATTGGTGCTAACTTTAACTATTTCAAATATAAATAAACCTCTGAGGTGGTAACAACTTTCTCTTAATTTAAAGAAACTCTTAATGGAATTGGAAATGTTATTGTTTTTAACCCTATGCACAATTTCTAACACTTTGACATTGATAACCATTTGACATTGATTATCCAAGCATCAGGTTCCTCCAAGTCAAACATCAAGGAAACATGAAGATGTTGTTCTTATGATAGCTGTATGGTCTTATTATCCTACTATATGTTATGTTATGTGCTTGTCTTGTTTTAAGCACCTACTGCTTTAACATGTTTGTGCAAGTCCTTATACGATCATTAGAAATGCAGTCTATTTTAATGGATCCACCTACATTACCTACTGGTTAGACCCAATAGACGACGGTAATCACAATGGGCCTCATTCACGAACGGTTCTTAGGAACAGATTTGTGCGTAAATCCTACTTATGCGGTTTTTACGAAGAAAGTGGCATTCACGAATATTTCTCGTAACCAGAATTTCTCTTGGGCAAGTACAAATCCTACGAGTCCTCAGGAGCACTCGTACGCATTCAGTGCCGACCTGTTCACACGCCGGGGTTGTCCTCTTTGGTGAAGTTGAATAAAAATACAACATTCCAGTGATATGTCCGTCATATCGATGTATGTATTTATTTATTTGTAGTAATCTTTATTTATATACCGCCTTTTTCACTGTAGATCTGGCCTACTTTTTAATTCATTTTGAAATGAAATGTGCCAACGCTTTATCAAATACATTCGAAATCTTGCCGTGTATTAGTGACCCCTTCCTATTTATAGGGGGCATTTCTTTATCCACGGGCCACAGAACAACGGCATATATACTGCTGCTGCAGGAGGTTGTGGGGTCCACTCTGAGTCTCTGCGCTGGTCTCTCCCATGGATCTATACGGGTCTGCACTGGTCTCTCCCATATACGGCTCTGCACTGGTCTCTCCCATGGATCTATACGGGTCTGCACTGGTCTCTCCCATGGATCTATACTGGTCTGCACTGGTCTCTCCCATGGATCTAGACGGGTCTGCACTGGTCTCTCCCATATACGGGTCTGCACTGGTCTCTCTCCATACGGGTCCGTGCTGCATGCTCCTGGATCCATACGGGTCCGCACCGGTCTCTCCAGTCAGGTCACTCCAGTCTATGCGGTCTCTCCTATAGGTCCGCGCTGGTTTCTGTGTGCTGGTCACTCCAGTCTCTCCTCGGGTCTGCATTGGTCTCAGCGCTGGTCCGCGCTGGATCTCCTCCCAGGGTCCGAAATATTTTGAGATTAATCTCAAAACATTTTGAGATTCATCTTTAAAATAATACATAATATATTTTTAAATTAAGCTCATAACATTTTGAGATTAATCTCATCATATTATTAGATTAATCTCATAATTTTGCTAGTTCGACTTTATTATCATAATATTTCGACTTTTAAGTCAACATTTTATAACTTTATTCTCAGTCTGGTAAAAGAAGTGTAACTCTTTGCTTTAGGCCTGTTAGGCCGTCTGCACACGGCCCTGCAGTCCCTTATATGGGCATTAGTGGGCGGTTACTTATGCTAAGTACCTATGCTAATGAAGCACCTGGCACGCGCGCTGTACTTACGAGGAAATGGGATTCATCAATCTGAGAGAACAGCTGCGAACAATTCAGCGGCTTACGAGTGCGTTGATGAATCCCACGTGGGGACTTCTTAGAAATCTACTTAAGGACAACTTGAGAAGAAAGTTGAGTAGTTTCTTACGAAGTTATTCGTGAATGAGGCCCAATATCTTTACACTATGAAAAAGGAAAAAGTGGAAATCCCCTTTTGGCATCAGTCAAAAATGACAATAGAAAAGCTCCATCACTAACAACGCATTCGCTTGTTTAACGTATTTCTTTTGTTCAACGTCATTCAATGTTTTTCTACAAATAATAACTGGGAGCGAAGTGTGCAAGTATAAGATGGAATGTGCAAGTATTTCCTTGTGGTTGCATCACTAACAGCCATTTAATGAACGTGGTGTAGCAAGCTTATGGCATTTAAAAGCACTGAGCTACACACAACAGAACCAGCACATGCTGTATCACAGTGATATTATTTTAGAAAATATATTATGCTACAAGGATTGTGCAATAGACACACACACACACACACACACACACACACGCACACACACACACTGTGTCATATGATCTAGTTACTTGTTTGTTTGATAACCACGTGAGCAGACTAAACTAAAACTAAATCGATTGCAACTGTAAAAAGTGCAGAGCCAACAATCCTAGAAAGGACCCACGGTTTCAAGGAGAAATTAATCTCTGTTGTGTCCTACAAAGTATGTTTTAAGATTATTTTTTTAAAAGAATTCATATTTTGTTTTATGATAAAAAAAACTGCAAAATATAAACTGCAATTGCAAGGTATTTTTTCCATTTAACTCACCTTTATTAATTTTTCTTTACTTTTGTTTGTCCTCTTAAACTCCTACAACTGTTTTGGCTCGTGCACAAAAGTTTGGCATACCCAAATGTCTTTGCTTATTTAAAAACACATCTTACATCTC